GAGAGAGAGAGAGATGGAGATAGGGGTGGGAGATGGTTCAGGAGGTGAACGGATACGTTGGTGTGTGGGGCCCGCAAGAGTCACACACAGTGCCTATCTGTATAACGTGCCACGTAAGACATAATTATATATCACGTCGGGATTATTGCCGCATTTACACTCCGCCACGCCAACAATGAGGATTCGACAATGTTGGCTCCGGTATTACGTAACTAGGGAGGGCACGGGCGATATATCTTATCATTTTGCGCGACTCGATTGTGCGCGGCGAGGGGGGGAGGGGGCAGGAGAGGGCAGGGTAGCGAAGTTATCTCGGCTGTTTTGCGCGAACGCCAGCGGAGATAATAATTATATAGCCGTGGCGGTCGCGTAAAACGTGTTACGATTATTATCACCTTATAACGTGTTAAGCGCCTCGACGTGGCACTTGCACGTCAGCTAAAACGCGATGTCATCGCGATGAAAAATTGTCTTCTGATTACGCTTTAATCGAACTTCTGAATTATTGATTGGAGTTTCATGCAAATTCGGAGACCCATAATGGTAGCCATCAAGCGGTTAATCACATTTTGCACGATCGATACTTGCCGACTATTATTCGCCGCTCCTGCTGTACTATCGCCGGCCGTGACTAATTTCGTTCGAATGGTATACGGAAAGTGCATAATGAAAAAAAGAGGCGCAATCTGGCTGGTTGACGTAGCGATTATGCTATGCGGCTTATGATGATGGAGACGGGAGGGGGGGATGATATCTACTGTCATCCGATACCATTTGCCCCGGCTATCGTGTACTATTGTGTGTTTGCGTGCCACTCGTGCACCGCTGCATCGCTAATGTGTTCGCGAAATTGATCCGGCTCTAATACAGTGTTTACTCAGAAGCAGAAATTTACGAGTTTCAGTTTACGTCTGCAATTAGCAGAACCAAGTTTTTCGATCCGGTGGAATCCGTACGTAAATTGCCCTCGTAAATTTTATCCAAGATCTCGGTAATCGCCCGAAAGACGGGCGCGCATTCATCGTGGAACAGAATTCTAGCTACCAAGACACAATAGATAGTCACGGCTGCTCAACGTTATTACCATTGTCTGCATATTGTCACGCTCTCAGTCTCATTCGCTGAAGCTTGCCGCCTGCAGTCTCGGGCACATGTCCGTACCCTCACAATCACTACGACGCAGTTCAACCCTTACGGTCGACGGAAGGGAGCGGGACGGGGGGGAGGGGGAAGGGGGAGGAGAGACTTTAAAGTACTGTATCTGACGTCTGACAGTACGTCGCGCGACATAACTTATGGCGCTTTCTCGCATTGCAGACGTGGACGTAGATTTTCGCCGTTAGAAACGTCCTCGTAAATTATTACGCAGGATCTTAACGGATCTCTCCTCGAAAGATCGATAACTATTTCCGTTGCTATTGCGAGCAATCCAGTTTCGCGAGAGAGATACCACCGCAAAACGGAATCTTTATAATCTCGTTTGGGATAGAAATCACGTTTCTTCCCGGCACTTGTTGGAAAACGAGAACGGTCGTCGTATCGAGATAAACGGAACGACTTAACTTCGTGTTTCGGGGGCTTTTTCGGTGGGGGGAGGGGGGGGGAAACCGTGGAAACGAAACATTTTCCATTTGATCGAGTGTGCCGGGCACGATCCCACGTGGCCACTTGCCTGCAGATTACATTCCGTACTCGTCTCGCGATCCCGCTGAGGACACACACCATTCACGACGTAGCGAAGGATGCAGCGAAGGAAGTGCTCCTTTCCAGCGTGGTAGCCGCGGACGTTTTCATGACTCTCTTAAAATCGGGTGAGCTTATTCGGGTGGGTTACTCTCCCCCCCCCCCTCCACTTCGGCTCGGGTCAGAGGAGTTTATGTGCGGAACACATCGGCCGTGCCGCGCCTGTTACCGGAATCTTGAAAGTGGAGACCGCCGCCGTCCAGGAAAATTACGTTACCGAGAAACAAGTGCGCTGAAGTATTCATCACGCGTAATGGAAGGGCGCCAGTAATTCAACCACTTGCCGGAGAACGTGTAAGTGACCGCCGCACGTGTGAATCTGGGTGGACGTGTGCGCGTTTGTGTGAAATATTGACTCCTCTTGGCCGATTCGCGTGTCCGAACTTTATTACGACCAGAATTAACGGAGCTGTTACTCCGCTCTTTGGGCTTTTTTTGTCCGTCACAAATCTCTGTCTAACGAACCGCGCGTAATTCATTGGTTCTGATGGATGATAGGATCAGCGTACGTGAGGTACGATCATATGTTCCACCGTCGGGCTTACGTTTAGTGAATCTGCTCCTAATTGTCTTTCATATTTTCTTAGAATAACCACAAGTTTCAGCCTTTTCGATAAATCAAAAAGCAGTATCGCTATTTTAGATTGACCTTTTTTTAGCATGATCAGTTTCATAAGATATTAAAGATAGAGAAATAGGACG